ATTCTTGAATTTGGTCACAATACTCTTATCTGGCATCTCGGTCCTGATTGCCTTATTTCTTGAGCAATACGTTTCGTGGAGTGCAAGCTTTTTTGGCTTTGGAAGTAATTCAGACACCTGAGGGAATATTCTTTCGCTTTCTTATCCCAAGAGGTTTGACTTGACAGTGGCTATCTCATGCTGTTTAACAGGCGGTTGTGCTTCTTATTGTCATCTGCTGTAAGAAGGTTTAGGACGTGCTTCCTGTTCTTCTGCCGTTCTGCGGCTTGCCCCTTTTGAGGCCTGACCAAAGACTTGAGACGTCTGCCTGTTAACCTTTGATGAATCTCCATTTTGTTCCTTACTCCAACTGATTTCATCTCCAAATTCACGGATTTGTTCACTCTGTGCTTCAAATCAGAACTTTCCTTCTTAAGGCTGTAGTGATGCCCAAGCGTACTCTGAGTGTCAAGAAGATTTGAGGGTATGAGCAGAAGTGCCTGATGAGAGTGAAAAATGAAGCCTATTTTTAGCCTCATAAATCACGAGCTTGATTCACCCTTGGAAATGTCTGGCTTTCTGATGGCATCCTTAACCAATAAGAGAAGTCACGTTGGGCTTCCTTCGCGCTTCCTAATGAACCCAAGATTGATGATCTGACATTGACATGTGAACCAAGAATGCAATAGATGAATGCCTCGATGGACTGATTCAGCCTGTCATCTCAGCTTGCATCAAACCTTGTCTGCCATAGAAAAGTCAACTTTTGCATTGTCATTCCATATGAAATAAATCAGATTGCCTTAGATGGTTTTTCTACCCTCATCGCTGCACTTATTATTACCAGGATATTAGAATGAAGTTGCTGACTGAGGAACATCTGTCACATCAATGAAAACAGATCCAAGACTGTGATTATCACCTCCTTTGAAGCGGAAGTCTGTGCCTGATGAAATTCCAAATTCCGCACATCTTTGTTTGAATGATGGCTTGTCATGATTATTATTTTTAAAACTGCTGAAAATTGGGTCACCAGGAAGAAACGATCTACTCTGAAATCAATCCATTCTAAAAAATAACCCTTCTGACTGTGAAGTAGACGTAAATCATAAGAAATGACTTCGTCTGTTCTTGAACCTTATCAAGAACTTCACGAGATATTCCACAGCCTGTTGTTGCACACCATACTGTGAAGTTGAGCTGTTGAGGCGCGTAGCTTATATGTTCGGCCCAGCAAGCCATCTCTTTGATTCTGTGCCTGAAGAATGCTGAATTTTCGATCTTGTCAATATTCCTCTAAATTGTGCATTGAAGTATTGACTCAGAGTAACAAAGATCTTAATCTTCTCATTGAAGTGGCTGACAGTATTCTTGTTAAATGGAACTGCTATCGCCCCCTTCTTTCCTATTCGATTCAGAGTGAGTTCAAAAGGAAAACCTCCAATTCCAAGTGCCTTCTCCTAGAGAATCGTCAAAAGCATAATATTCACAAAAGTCACGAGCGAGACATTGTGAGTATATCAAGTGAAGCGTCTTAAGTAAAGGAACTGAAATAAGGAAAACATCTCAGGTAAGTGAAACACCTCAACTAGAGAAAAGATCGATCGAGTAAGACGGGTAGCGATTCGATCCAGGGTGAATTCAAAAGGAAAACTTCCAATTCCAAGTGCCTCCTCCTAGAGAATCGTTAAGGGCATAATATTCACACCTTCAAAAGTCACGAGCGAGACATTGTTAGTATATCAAGTAAAGCATCGTAATTAAAGGAACTGAAATGAGGAAAGCATCTCAAGTAAGTAAAACACCTCAACTAGAGAAAAGATCGATTGAGTAAGGCGTGTATTGGTTCGATTCAGAGTGAGTTCAAAAGGAAAGCCTCTAATTCTTAGTGCCTTCTTCAAGAGAATCGTCAAGAGCATAATATTCACAAAAAAGCATCTTAAGTAAAGGAACTGAAATAAGGAAAGCATCTCAAGTAAGTATAACACCTCAACTAGAAAAAAAAAAATCAATCGAGTGAGGCGGGTAGCGAGAAAAGTAAAGCACTTCATGTAAGGAAAGCATGTGAAGCAAGCAGATCACCTAAAGTCAGTAAAAGCACTGGAGGGAAGTAAAGTATCTCAAATGGTTAAAGTACATCAAATAACAGAAGAATCTAGATTAAGTAAAGCTTCTAGAACAAAAAAAAGCATCTCAAATAAGTAAAGCTTCTTAACCTTTTACCTCCTACAAGTAACTAGCATCTAGTTTCTTCTTACAATACTACTCCTGAATCACACACAAAGGTCACGAGAATAAAGGAAATGAAGACCAACTTAAGAGGCTCTTGATTGTTAAAAAAATTTTCCTTGTCAGCACATACTTGTATAGAGAACAGTATGGAGAATGTACATTCTGATGTTAGGCCGCAAAAGGTTAAGTATAAAGGACCTGAAGAAAGCATCTTAAGTAAGTGGAGCACCTCAAGTAGAAAATGGACATCAATTGAGTATGGCATGGAAAGGCAGAAAAGCATGTTAAT